GTACATTATCATGATAATGTCCATAACAATCTTAGGTTTAAAAATGATCTATTTACATGGCAACAATACGTATTTAAAAAGTAAAAACCAACCATTTTCAAGGGTAGGACATCATCAGGGAAAAAAACAAAACAAAACAAAACAAAAACAAAACAAAACAAAAAACTGGTAACCAGTAAAATTTAAGGAATTCTTGAAAATTTAACGAGTAAAAGGATTGCTCTACCAGTTCACAATTGTTGCCTTGCAAATAACTCAGTATCAAAACAGCTCATGTAAAATGAGGTATTTAGTAAGAATACTTTATGTGCAGATATCTCTTTACAATCATCAGACCACCACAATGGTATTGAATATTTGACAAGGTTGTACTAATTGCCAAAAAAAAAAAAAGGCAGGTTGTCTGTTAAATTCCAGATGACACATCTCAACAGTGTTGTCCTTTTCAGGTGGTAACATGTTACACCAATTATAGTACTTATTATTACTGCCTAAAAACCACTTGATATCCTTGAAAATTCAACAGGTAAAAGGATTGCTTTACCAGTTCAAAAAGGTCTTTAACCTGTTGTACTTAAAATAAAGGAGCACACCCCTCATTTAACAGCCCCATATGTAATTAGGAATTTGCATGAGGTTACAAATTCAACTGGTAAATTCTGAACATAGTTATTAAAGCCATATAACTTACAGAACATAATTATCTTATTTTGTATCTTTGCGGCCTATGTTTGTAAAAGGACCCACACTTGCATGTTAAAAATCAAAATGTCTTGTTCACATTCACAAACTGGTAAATGAAGTATCAAGAACCAATCAAAGCTGATGTCAGTGCTGGTATTAACTGAATTCCTGTAAAATGACACAAAGTATTGAAATTCTTCATTCTGATTTCTTTGATCTTCCCTTGAAATCATCCATACAAGCATTGGTCCCAAAGAACTCTGCTAGTGCATGATAAGTAGCTGTTGGGACAGTGCTGTGAAGGTAAAAAAAAGATTATATTTTTTTTTAACAGAAACAATTGAATAAAATTTTTTCTTGCATACTGTAGCAAATATAGTAATTGCATAGTTCCACAAGAAAAAAAGAATTAATTAATCCTTTAACTCCTATGAGTGACCAAAAGAGAATTTCTCCTTACAATATCAATACAACATCAAGCAGACAAGTGATGAGAATAAAGAAAAATGTCAATCAGGGGATTATTAGTTGATCCAATACCAAATTCTCTACACTAACATTATAAGAATTGTATGGTAGACAGTAAGGAGAATTACTAATGAGATCACAGAAGAGAAAGGGTTAAAAAGTAGCTGCCCTTGAAGGTCCCCTTCAATAGTCTTCTGGCAGTTGTATTACTGTTACTGAGTTGGTATAGAATAGAATTTCTTGTAATTCTTTTTCACTGCTTTGAAAAGAGTTTTCCTCCGAGGGAAATGAAATTCAGCTTGCAGACACCTGGTATGGTGATTATCCATATTAAGTAAAATGGTGTATGAGCTGATAACTGATATTGAGGAACCAGTCAGAACACAAGAAATGGATTATCCAGGACTGGGTGACTAATGAGTGTATTAATGACTAAAATCAATAAGAATACCTTCCAATTGTAAATACCAATACCAGCACTCACCATTTAATCCAGAGAAACAAAGTCAGAATCTTTGGAAGTAACAGCATGGCTTGATTGCGGAGGATTGCATCCACCATCTTATCTGTGGCCCAGTCAGGTTCCAGAATTGGAAGTAGTAATGGGAACCTATCAGAAAACTCAAATTGTTAAAAAGTTGCCAAACAAAATGTGGCACTAAGGACTGGTAACAAACAAAAACTTCTCTCCTTCTTTTAGTATAAGTACAATCCTAGTCATGAGTATTCAAACTTTGTCAACTAAATGTTCTTAGCGCTAAATCAATTTTGGCTTGGTGAACCTGAAGTTACTATTGTCCTGCTGGTTTTTAAGTGGAGGTTGTGCTTTGAAAGGCATTTAATTTTGTCCCTTTTTTCAGATAATTATCTGTTGCTTCCCTCTTACAGATTAGTTCATCTAAACAATTCTTTCAATTTTAAAACATTTAAAATAATTTTTACACAGTACAAAATAGGATGCTTATGATCTAATTTTTGCATTATAGACACACAACAAAGTTTTTTTACTAAATTCAACCATCAAGTTTCAAGATCATGAGTTACTGATGGGAGAGATAATTTACAGTGTGTACCAATACTATCAAAAAAGATTCTACTCTTGAAAGGACGTAATTTTGGTAGATAACCAATTTATTTGAGGGAACCAGATACACATCCCAAGTCTTGATCTGAGCTCAGTTACATGTAAAACAATTACCTGGTTTTCACTCCATCAAACATTCCTGTATTGATGAAGAATGGACAAATAACTGTTGTGTGTACTCCTGTCATCTTTGTGGCATTCAGTTCCATCATCAAAGATTCGTCAAAACCAACAGCAGCAGTTTTAGAGGCACAGTAATCACACAAACCACAGACACCAAACAGACCAGCAGATGATGCAATGGTAACAACATGACCATGATTTTTTTCCAGCATGGATGGTAAAAAGGCTTTAGTTGTCTGTAGATTGGATCAAAATACAAAAAATCACAGATCTTTTGACAAATTGCTGATATTAAAATTCATACCTAGACAGGTCCATATTGTGGGGGCTAAATGTGATATATACTCTGCTTAGGGTATGGATATTTTGCAAGTCTTCACATTGGGACCTACTTCCTACTAGGTACAATAAGTTTGACCAGAGAGCATCCAAGCAGCCTTTCTAGAGGCCAACTCTCTTGAAAAGAATCCCATTAGGAGCCAAGAGTCATTCTATATGACTTTTTGGCTGGTAAATTAAATATTTTTAAAATCACCACGAAACCATAGCTCTTGAACGACTTGTCTAACTATGCCATTTGTGTATGTTCATAATTAGTTTTGACCCTGTTTTTACATTCCTCTTTTCAACATAAACTGAACGATGTTTTGACCGTGTCAAAAGAAATCTGGATGGCAAAAGATTTTGGACCCCGTGACTCCCCTGCGTGTCAAAACCACCCTCCCAAATCATCAAAGCCTAGTTGGACCTTGAACCCCACCTTGAGTCTCCTCTACAAGTACTTTACACAAGTAGGATTCGTTTTCAAACCAGAAAAAAAACATTATTTATTTTTTCCCTAATCCAACAAAATAAAAATCAAAGCAGATTAAGAGTAACTGATAATTTTTTTAATTGTTTGACCCTAGCGTGTTGAAGAACATAACATCCGTCAGTGCATCGTGGCAGCACGCAAATTCATCTACTTCCTAAACACGAATTAAAAAAAAAAAAGAACTAACCCAGAAATGAGCCATCGTGTTGACTTCCATGGTCTTCTGAATCATCCAATCTTCTGTCTCCAGGTACTTCTTTCCACTCACAATTCCTGCATTGTTAATCAAGATCGTAACATCGCCCACATCGTTCTTCACAAGTTCTGCAACTCGATAAATGTCTTCCCGACTGCTGCAATCACATTTATAACCGTACGCAGAAAGTCCTTGATCTTTTATTTCCTGGACAGTAGAGTCGTTGGCCATTTGATTGATATCAACGCAAACAATAGTAGCTCCTAGCTTGGCAAATTTCAGAGCCATCAGTCGACCAATTCCACTTCCAGCGCCAGTCAGGAATATTATCTCTCCCCTTACGTCTTTACGAGGTGGAGGGAAAAATATTTGAATAAACGATTTTAAAAACTGCCAAAGTATGATCCCTACCAGGGAAAAAGCTTCAATTAAAAGGCACACCATAATGAAAACAAAAACTATAACAGTACGTTTCGTAAACGATCTTCTGATGTTGTTCGCGGTTTGATCGACTCTTCGAAAAACTCATCAGAATTATTCATACAAATGAGACGATCTCATTGGTCAAAACTTTTCTCGCCTCCAGGCCATTTCGATTAAAGGAAAGGATAGTCAAAGGTCCTTCAAAGTTCATTCAAGGGCAAAACCGGTCCTCATGAGACCATTTATCCAACAATTAATGATGATAATGTAAAAAAAGAAACTTGAAAAATGTTTGTCACGAGTATGGTATAAAGAAAAATCCAAGTTCCCCCGAGGACTCAATCCTCAGACCTTCAGATTTTCCGGTAGAATCCTCCACCAACTGAGCCAAAGAGGGGAACTGATTGTGGAGTGAGCTAAGCCACATATTTGGAACTTATGCGAACAGCCTAAAATATACTGATTTATCCGCAAAGTCAAAAGCGATGAATGGATGGACATCAATGCTCCCTTGTTTCATTATAAAAATTTATAACAGTACCATCTGCAGATGGTGACTGATTCACGGGCACATCTCGTGATGGTCTCTTTGACAAGGCAAAATTAAGGTCACTTTACCGCATGCATGTTTTCGGGGTAAAAAAATCTGTCATTCAATGTCAAAGTTCAATTTAAATAAGTAACAAGAGCCGTTGCATGATCTCAGCTCAGTAATCACGTCACGCGATACATCATCGTGTATATCACGCTGGGTAAGTAGATAGGCTCGACATTACGTCACTATGGTGTCTGGACTTTAGAAAGCGAACGCTTGAAAATCAACTTTAAACACAAATCTGCGGAATAAGAACTTTGCGAAGACCATAAAAAAGGGTAGCACACATATAGCTCAATACTGAAAGTCGACTTTTTTTCTTCTATGAATTTTCAATAGTCTCAAAACCATGATAACTGTTAATGGGAGATTAGATATAGCCTGATAAGCGCCTTAAACAGCGTTATATAACCAAAACACACAAGTCCAAAGAGTACGCAAATTGCTTTGCTTTAGTCATACTTTCCAAACCGAAATCTTTTCAGAAGAAATATCAAGAATATATTAAGGCAAGGATTTCAATAAAAGCCAGTTATCGGCAGCCGTAACGCCGCCTGTACGGATCTCTCACCGCCGTCTGTTTAGCCTAGGAAAATGCTCTAGTCTGTGGCTTTCGCCTTACGGCACTGCCGCCGCCTATTACATCATCAACAGCCGCTTATGGACTTCAGAACTATGACCTTCAACTGTGAAAATAGTTCTCACTTCGTCCCAAAGGGCTCGATCCCCCGCAGCAGCGCTATTTTTTTACTCATGTCCACTATCACGTTTCTAAACAATGTAATGGATCATCTGAAAGGCAATCGATTAATCGACACTGGTACTGACAAATAAAATTAGTTGGTTTATATCGATCAATCGATGATCAATTTATTTTCACGGAAAAGTCATCAGTTTTTTTTTATATACGTATCGCTTGACAAGACTCGCACTTGTGCTAAAGGCACTAAAATCAGCGTGTGCAATGATTCGTACGTCACCAAGTCTACCATCAGGCCCAACTTTTTTACAAGATTTTGTCTCATGATAACAAGCCTTGCTGCTTCAGTGATTCACAAATGCAATTGTGCATGAATAGAGACTCGGGAAACGTCAATAGAATATGACTCGGGCGTCAGACCCCATTCAGCATCAGTTACCTCTCCTTTGCAACTGTAAACGACTGAATTTAAGAGCCACTGAACGTAAATATCTAGAATCCGCATATCCGCTGACAGTTGCAAAATTTTGTAATTCGTTTTATTTCTTCTAAAGGACCCCTTCAATGAATCTTTTTTCGAAAAATATATCAAAATGTACTATCGCGCTTTTTTTTTCTCCGAAAAATCGAAAAGTTTAAAATACGCCTAGATGACCGTTTCCCCCACCCCTCTTAAAGCAATAGGGAGCTTTAGCAACGACGACGGCGACGGGAACGAGAACGGCAGAAAACAATAGGCTTAATGAGCAAAAACAATCGCCCTGCACGTGCGTTTAACATTTTGGTACATTTCTTTGCCGTTCTCGGCAAAACAACAGCGTCAAATAACCAAACTTTAGGTTTTCTTGAGAACGTGAGCGCATGACGGTTAATTTTTCTTTCTTTCTCCCCACTTAAACGCCGTTGGTAGTGATATAGTCCCTGAAGAGTTCGCCAGCATTTTCCAAGTGAAACACATCGGAATAACCTCGAAAGAGTTACAAAAACGAAAAGTTAGATTTCGACGCGACGTTTTCGTTGCCGTCGCCGTCGTCGCTGCTTAAGCTCCCTAATGAAAAATTATGCAACTTCGGCAACTTCGTACGCTACAACGCGATGCAATCCCGCTTTTAAATTTTGTCTGCTAGCAGATAGTCCTTTCATCTCTTGGAAAATATTAATTTCTTGTTATGTTGTAACGTTTAAGTCTGAATAGTGACCAGTTAAAATATAGTACTTTGCGTCTCTTTCGCGGAGGTAAAATAAAGGTCCACTTCAGTGCGGACTATGAACAGGTCTGCCATATATACTTAAAAGTCATGATATACATTATCTTAAAGCTTTATCCTTGTATTTTAATTCCTCCTATTCTCTATCTTGGCTCGCCATAAGCAGCACGACCAGGTTTAAAAGAGCTTGGGCTAGTTTGTCAAAATTGCAATGCGAACCGCTGAACAGCTGTCGTGACCCATTTAAAGGCCTTTAAAAAGGTCTTGTATGATATATTTACAAATCAAAATGAAGTCATCTTAAAGTGTTATCCTTGTAGTTTAATTCCTCAAAGTTTGTTTCTTGGCCCGGCGTAGACGGGGCGTCCAGCTTTCAAAGAGTTCGGGCTAAAAAATGACAAAAAATGTAACGCGGTCCGTTGAACGGCTGTCATGCAAGAGGTCAAGGACAATCTTTCAGGTTGGCCAGGAATGCACCATCCTCGGAGACCCAGGGGCTGTGGGTCGATTTCAAGTTAGGACATGAAGAGCCCCTGGGGACATTGCAGTCATTCAAGTGTTCTGGAAAATTTTGCTGTGTTCTCTAAAAGATTAATGTGTTCTCGAAAAGATTGTTTTGTTCTCGCAAAGATTGTTGTGTTCTCTAAAAGAATGCTGTGTTTCAGAAAAGAAATTGAATTGTGTTTTGCCCACTATGGGCCACCGTACATGTTAGATACAAATTGACTTCAGGCAGCTAAAGAGCTAGAAAACCTTAGTACATTGTGAAATTTTTAGCTCTTTGGGTGTAATATTCAAGGAGAAATAGTCCATCAAAAACTGCAAAATTTCTGGGTGGCAAAAGCGCTAATGAGCTCATACATTCTATGTAAAATTTTGAGTTTTTAAACCCGTGTTGCACAAAAAGTATTCAATGCATCAGGTTCGTATTCATTGGCCGAGTTAATCGTACTTTTACCTTTCGATATTCAGAGCTGATTTATTTTTAGCTTCATCAGGAACTGAATTGCTCATGCTAATGAGGCAAATATTGTAAACAAGGATTCCCCTATAGATTTAATGGTTGCATTGATCTTATGGTGATTTTTCCCCGGGGGGGTACTCGATATATTCCTGGGTGAGGAGGTGCGGCGCGGCCCCTCATACCCTGACCCTGTTTAAGACAAAAGTTGATAAATCGATATCCTGATTAAGACAAAAAATTATAAATTCGATACCCTGTTTAAGACAAAAATCTCGAAAAACATACCCTGGCTGGCCGCGCGTCGTACGTCCCCATTAAGCGCTTATAAGGGAGTACCCCCCGGGGATTTTTAAGAGCGCTCATTGCATCAAGTCCTTTTATCCGTACAAAGATAAGATCAACCGTTCAAAAATGTCAAAGGTTGTTTATAAGGCTAGTTGTCACGGGGACTGCCCGGATTTTTACACTGTTAAAAACAAAACGTAGATTGCATGACAGAAAACCAATTGCCTGTCATACATCTGCTCATACGTCACGTCAACTGGTCACAACAGACCATGTCACGTCAACTGGTCACAACATGAAATGGGACCACTTTGAGATATTAACAAAAGGTCGTTCTGATACTCATTGCAAGATAAAGGAGACTCTATTAATTCAACAACTTAAACCTACTCTAAACGATAATGTCAGCAGCGATAAGCTTTATCTGTATTAGTTTGCATCTTTGTATATGCAATTTTTTTTCTTTTGTTTATTGTTATGTTAATTAGTTACTTATCTTAAATTTAAACTTAGTAGCCGCGTGGATTATTAACTGTCACTTCTGAAGATGTATGTCGAAACATACGAAATGTCAAGTAAAGTTTACTAATCTTATTTTCCAACATGCCTTTTACGTTCATGTTTGTAACTGCAGTTTGTGTGCTTTTTCTTAGTTCTGAAATGAAATAAGATCTTTGAAATGACTTTCAGTCATTGTTTAAGTCAGATACGACTCTTCTGAGCACAAACATATACAGCGCATATATAACGTGAACTTGAAATATAAGGCTAAAACAATAAGAACTGCTTTTTCTCAGTTCTGGAATGAAACAAGATCTTTCAAATGATTTTCAGTCATTAAGTCAGTTACGACTCTTCTGAACACAAACTTCTGTTTTCCCGAGCGACACATTCCTTTGCAACCACTTAGCGGGTCAAAATGTTGGAAAGAAGATCATCAGAAAGAAAACAAAGATCTGAAAAGTCTTCTAACACAATATATTTGATTTATGTTTTGTTTTACAAAGCTTCGATTGCGGTTGGCTCCGATGACATGAATGGAAAGGAACGTTCTTTTGTCTACTTTTCAACTAGGTTATTAGAGAAAGTGTGCCTTAGAAATCCAGGCGAAAATAGGCGCGAACTAGCCGCCCAGATCTAGAAACCGTAATTGGGGTAATATATTCATCCTCTTGGTCAGAAAAGTCGTTTTCTGAGTCCGTGTCATATTCGTCTGCATGTGTTCGCACCTCAGCAATTGCCACTTCAACGATACAGTCGTCAACAAATGTGATATCTATCACATTCCCACCTTCCGAAGTAGCTTGGACATCTCCTTGGTCGCTGCTGAAGCTTACTGACTGATCTCCCGAGTTAAAATGGTTACCTAGTCCCGCCAACAAGTACACTTTGGTGGAATCTTGTTGCTTCGTGTAGACGGCCGGTGGTAAAGCCCCTGCCCTGTCCTTGGTAGTTTCCTCCCGAACTGTCCTTTGCCTTAAGGGACGATACTTCCCCACAAATTCTTTCATAGCACTTTCAATCGCGGGGTCGATCCCTACTGAAGGTAGAGGTCGCGTAAAGTTTACATTTGCAGACTCCGTGCTGGTCCGAGAGACAGGGTAATAGGATTTTTCATGAGTAAAATACTTGGCTGCCCATTTGGTTACTCTCTTCAACGACTCCTTGGTAATTAATCCAAAGTCTTGGGAATACTGTAATGCGGTGAAGGTCTCGTGCTTAAAATGTGAAACTATTTGTAGATTCTCCACAACTGTTGCGAGTAGTGTGCTCAATTCAATATCTTGGAGATAATCGTTGTTAATTGAAGCTATGCTGTTGTGCAGGCGGTGCATTCCTTCTTCGAGAAGTTTTTTCTTGAGTTTTATGAGACACAGTTCCTTCGGTGCCGTTGGTTGCTGTGGTTTCCTTTATACTGTGCCATTGTTTCACCGCAGAAACGGTTTTGTGATGTTGTCGTTTACATGTGATACTTTGTCTACGGAAGAGACAGTTGTGCTTTCTCTATGCTTTGGGCTCCGATACCAAAACTGTCATAGAGACTTCCAAGAACGAAGCAGTTCCACTTCTAAGACTTCTGAGAACGACACAGTACCACTGAGTCCCGACGCTAGTTTAATGCAACCTGTAGCCACATCCGATATGAATAGAGTCTTCTCCATAGAACAAATGCCATGCCCTTGGGTAAAAGAACACTTTTCATCCTTTCCTTCACTTGCTCCTTCCTGACCAGAGCCCATCGAGCGGTTTTAACGTTTTTCTCAGAAGGACTGAAGAACTTTACCTTTCGATCCCCCGTGTCAGTGAACGCTATCCCGTCTTCAAATTCACAGTCTTTTGATTTCTCTACAAGACTCCGAGTTGTTCTTTAGGTCAACTTCAAAGCTTGAAAGGTCGCAAACGGCTAGACCGTCTAGACCGACTGCTTCAAAGTAAGCTCTTTGTTTGGGACTTCCATAGATATGATATTCAAAATGCCAGTCGAGTAGGTCACGAGTCTGACTTCGGTACCAGCAATGCCAACTCCATTGTAGTGTAATGTCACTGGTATAATTCCTCNACATAGTTTTTTTTATTAATTTAGTAAGTAGGTGTCCCCAATTAGCTCTATGAGCTAAATACATTGACACGGTAATAAAGATTTTATTATTATTATTATTATTGCTCCTTCCTGACCAGAGCCCATGGAGCGGTTTTAACGTTTTTCTCAGAAGGACTGAAGAACTTTACCTGTCGATCCCCCGTGTCAGTGAACGCTATCCCGTCTTCAAATTCACAGTCTTTTGATTTCTCTACAAGACTCCGAGTTGTTCTTTAGGTCAACTTCAAAGCTTGAAAGGTCGCAAACGGCTAGACCGTCTAGACCGACTGCTTCAAAGTAAGCTCTTTGTTTGGGACTTCCATAGATATGATATTCAAAATGCCAGTCGAGTAGGTCACGAGTCTGACTTCGGTACCAGCAATGCCAACTCCATTGTAGTGTAATGTCACTGGTATAATTCCTCTCTGGGCATCGTCTGCACACAACAGAATGTTTTCACTTGCAGCACAGATTGAAGTTGGCTTTTCTAAAGAAGGGCGAACCTGGACAAGCTTCGAGTTTCCGAGTTCAGCGGCTTCGAGTTTCCGAATTCATCACTTAAGATATCAAGGAGGCGATAAGAACAAAATGGTATATCTCTGCGATTATTACTGTGAAGCCATGTGGTGCGTAACAAATGCTGCACAATGTAATTCGAGCCAGCTAAGAACCTCTTTAATATCACACGAAACCAGAATATGCCCAGCAGACAAACATCATGAAATAGGACCATTCAGTCGCATCACTGCGACTCTATAAGAATTAACTTTTTCACAGTCACTTTAGCTATGTCATTATAGTCAACATAAAACATAATCTACATGAATTCAAGAATGAGAAAATTCTGAAGGCGCTTATAAGTCGGCATCTAATGGGCGTTTTATGATAAAGAGTAGGCTATTAACTGATATATTTATACCAACACCAAATACCAAACCACTCCAATACCTACTGTTTAATTCGCTTCCTATTCCAGCCAGCATGGTGGGAAGCTCCAAATTCCATTGCTCGTCCGTAGTTAGCGCAAAATTATTGCTCTTGCCGCCTGATTTCGGAGCCATGTGATAAAGTTTCGCATCAAAATCTCCCAGGCCATATTTATTAGACAAGTCCTTTAGACCAAGGAACGAAGTAAGGTGCCTTTTCAGCGCCAGTACGGTTTTAACATCTTTGATAGGAATGCGGCTTCTGTGACTGCGGCTCAAATGCCGTTTCCGACTCAATTCGGTAAAAGCTTACAACAACTCTTAAAATACCAGCATTCGCGGCCTTCGAGTGAGTTGACGATCGAGTTGGGTATCAAAGATCATATAACTGAAATGAGACACATGACCTTGATGTGGATTGCACATGCGGTAACTATTAACGAAATAGGACACTGGCGTACTCCTACTGAAATATAATGGAAAATGTACTTTCATTGAACCAAATAAATCAAATGTCCTTATTTTACATCCAGTTTTTAGGATATTTAGGGCGATCCGGGATTTTGTCAGTTGTCAGTAAAAGCCCACCACAAATGTCAGTTGTCAGTTAGTTTCTCAGCGATTTGTCAGTTGTCAGTTAAAAATTTTGGCTATTTGTCAGTTGTCAGTTAACGCCATCCAGACCCTCTTTTCACGTTTCTTTTTTTACATCATTATCATTTATTGTGGGATAAATGGTCTCACGAGGGTGTTTTGCCCTTGAATGAACTCTGAAGACACCTTTGAATGTCCTTTCCATTTCCTTGAAATGGTCTGGAGGCGAGAAAAGTTTTGACCGATGAGATCGGCTCATTTGCATGAATAATTATGACGAGTTTTTCGAAGAGTCGACTCTCTGGACTTAGTGAACTAGCCCTCATAGGTCAAAGGTGATTTGATAATGACTTTGTACCGCTCTTATGAAACGAATATCAGATGAAATATTGTGTTAAGATATAAATATCGCATTAACATAACGTTAAAATTGCACATCGTTTGTCCGTATAACCATCTCCTGCCATGTGCTTGAGATACGAAATTAGATGACGAGGATTCCAAAGAACATTTCTGACATAGAAAGGCTACTGAGTAGAATGTACCGCATCACGCGAAATCTTCTTTCTCAAGCGATCGTCAGTATGACCAGAAAATTTCCAGGTACACCAACTGCAGCGATGAGAGCACGGAACACTGCAATGATATGAGAAAAACCCATGATTGATCGAAACTCTTTAAAAATGAGAATCCACGTGTTAGGTGTATGCCAGGTGCTTCCCTCTTCAACGAAATCCATCCTTTTATTGTCCGTTTTTGTTACAAACATATGAACCGGTGGTCAACAAATAACATTTCCCACGGAAACATTTTAATCTACCGATGAGTTATCTGAATACTTATTGTAGTAAAAAAAGGAAAAGTGAGATAAGCTTGCTTTTCAAACCGCAGCGTGGAAATATAAATTTTGGGGAAAACTACTGTATTGGTAAAACTGGCTGTTTTTCTTTTTTCTTTTTTAAGGGAAGGTTGAGGGGGGGAGGGGGGGGGGAAGCCTGCAGCGCCAAATCTTACACTGTCTCATTTCTTGGCCCACTGTTTCGGACAATGAGCCAATATTTTTGCTCCAACGGAGCGTTTCTTCCTCCACGTGGGTTATGGACAAAATTAAAATGGCCAACGTCTGTTTTCATATCTTTACAGAACAGTTGAATGATTTGTCAAGTCTGTAACCCCTTTTTAGTTGCGTTAACTGGAAAGAAAATACTTGAAGCTACATCATTATTCACCTGGCACATACCAAATAATAATACTCATCTGCGTAGTCTGAGAGACAACTGACCAAGAGCGTACTCAAACGGAAATAAAATAGGCACTGGGTTTTGGGGAAAAGCGGAATAACGTCCAAATACTCAGACAAGATTTCTTTATTATCTACCCATTGGTAGAATTTGAGGATAGAAAGTACAAGTCAGTCTGCCGATAACCAAGAACATTCGAGACTTTTGTCATTCTTATTTGCCGGGAAAATTGCAACAGCGTTTTTATGTCATATAGAACGGCTATGGTCTTTGAATACCCAAATTTCACAAAACAAATGATTAAAATTACAAAGTTTCTTCTCAGCATTTATTACAAATCTAGGACATAGCTGATCAAATAAAAATATACATATATTACCATCTATATGAAGTCTGGTGCCATTAACGATTTCCATAAAAGCATAAAAGAAGCCATCAATAAGAATTGTGATCTTTCAAATGTTCCGGTTCTAAACCTACACTAGTGGTAAATTTCAACAAGTACCCTAAAACTCAGTAACATTAAAATAAATAGATCAAAAAGGCCAAGCACCTTTTAATTAAAGTTAAATAGCAGGGATAAATTATGTAAAACGGAGACTTGACTGGAGAGGTTAGAAAATGGACACAGCTTTAGATGGACATTGCCAAAGCTTAAATCACGACCTGAAGTGACTAAGGATAAAATTATTGACGCCCTTTGACTTAGGATGAAATAAAATCTATTAAAACCGAACTAGGAAGTTGTAACAAATCACAAGAATAGCAGTAGTAATTTAAATAGAAACCTATTCCGTCTATTACAGAGCGGGGAAATCATCTACCGGCAATGGAAACAAAATGGAAATTCTGGTTTTTGGCAGGCGAATTTGGTTCAAACAGCGTTTCGATCGCGTGTTGTCAAAACACAGGCAGTAATGTCATTCCAATCGCCCAAGGATTCTTGAAACTGTCAGGTACTGGCGATGACCGGGCAAGGAGTAACACATACAACTTTACATCGCATTAGGTCGAGGCCCGACTTTTGACGAGCCGAACCAAATAACTTCAATTCAGTAAATGAAAAGACCGCCTGGCTTAACAAAGAATTTCAGCTTCGGAACAGCTTTCATCTACACACCGAACTTATTATGTGCTGATATCAATAAATAAATGACATAGTACTGAACGTTTTCTACCAGACACTTCTTTATGTGTTGAACCTGACGGTGAAATCTGAATCAACAGGCGCACAAGTTAAGCGTCTGATAGACGACTTCCTTTCCGACTGAGCGACTTTAAAAAGCATTAAAAGGAGACGAGAAATAACCTAATAAGTCGGAAATGAATACGGCTGTTAAACGTTTGTTACTATTTACACGACTATTTAACTTGTACTAAAATAAAGATAAAAAGGGAATTACCCGCAGAGTCGGACATCCCTACTGTTCTCCTCTGTTAACATATTACACCTCACCTTCTACATAAATACGTCATTATGAATCAGCAAAAGCAATCGTAAATTAGATTGTATCCCAGGGATTCTGACTAACGTTTCTATGACATGTTGCCTTATCAACTTGTATCATAAGGGCATACGATTAAGCTAATACACTAATCATGCAAATTGATTCGTGATATTTCAATGTAAACAACAAAGCCGTAATCTACGCATTACTTGTCTGTAGTAAGAGTACGATGCAACGCGTTCCTTTCCCATCTAGGTCTACACAGGCGACGGAGAACGTGCAGTTTTGGGAACTTCCAACATCACCGAAGGTCTCCGAAGAGAAGATTCACTAATTACCGAACCGGCCCGGGACCTCGCTCTTAAACTGGCCCGTGAGGCTCTTGCACTGTCCATGGACTGGTATGTAGTACCTTTAATAAGCGCCTGTTTTATACTCTCATCCATACCAGCCACACCCATTTCGCCGAACACCTGAAAGAGAAAGGGAGAGGACGATGAAATGAGTAGCACAGTTTTGAGAAGCGAAGGCTATTTGAGATTACAACGATTGTCTTTCACTGAACTCTGAGATTTTTCTCGAAATCTCATACAACCCCATCAACCAATCAAACGCACAATTAAAACCAATCATGACTTGCTCACCCGCGTTTTCCTGAACGGGAAGACTTTTACAATTATTTACTTCAAGGCCTTATTTACTTCATACGATATTTTTTTGGCTCTGACTGAAAGTATTCTTGAGAAACAAGAAGTTGATCATTCATTCACTCTGATTCAGACACTCACATACTCCCTCGTCCAGTCAGTCAATGAGTCAGTGAGTCTGTCAGTCAGTCCACCAGTTAGTCAGTGAAACAGTAAGTCAGTCAGCCAGTCGATGAGTCAGTCAGTCAGTCAGTCAGTGGGTCAGTCAGCCAGCAAGCCAGCCAGCTAGTCACTTAGTCAGTCAGTCAGCCAGCCAGCCAGTCAGTCAGCCAGCCAGTAAGTAAGCCAACCAGCCAGTGAGTCAGTCAGTCAGTCAGTAAGCCAACCAGCCCAGGGGTGGATCTAGCAATTTTCGTGACTAGTTTCCACCAAAATTAATTTTTCCATGAGACTAGAAATCTAATGGCGTAGCCTTAAGCTTGCTAGGAGGGTCTGGGGGGCGGGGCATGCTCCCCCCGAAATTTTAAAACTTGGATGCTCAGTAATGCAATCTGGTGCATAATTGGAAATATATATAAGATCAAAACAAGTATAAAAATTTAAATCCACAAATTTGGAAATATTCCTTGTGAACAGTCACTAAAAACAATTTGTAAAATTAATGTTCAATTATATCATAGGTGCTTTTTTTTTTTTTTTTTTTACCAGAGTTAGGTTTAAGTTCAAAGTAAAGGGAAGTTGCATGGCAAAGTAAAGTTCTTAGTCATCACTGCATAAAATGTTGGCCATTCTCATTCGTCTGGGATTAAGAGAAGCAAATAAATCAATGATTTCATCCAAATCCAAGGGAATGTCCCTATGAGCATTCCCTCAATGGAAACAGTGAGTCACTCAGCCAAGAGCCAACGAGTCAGTCAGCCAAGAGCCAACGAGTCAGTCAGCCAAGAGCCAACGAGTCAGTCAGCCAAGAGCCAACGAGTCAGTCAGCCAAGAGCCAACGAGTCAGTCAACCGTAGGTTTGAGAGTTAGTTCGTCAATCATTTAGTTATAGGTTGGCAAATCAGTCAACGAACTAGAATAACTGTCAGTCCACGATTTTTTACCACGATTTTTACGTCCACATGTTACCGCCGGGTTCAAACCATTTACTGCAATATCATTTCCATTCTAACAGTTAATAAGGAATATATTTTAAGATGACCATACCTCCACAATGGCGCCATCAGGCAGCCTTAGGAAGTGTCTGTATAACTCTCGTAATCCATCCAAGTGTATGGTGTGGATAGACACGTGAGATGTGATTTCACGGTGCCCAGTTTTCTTTTTGTCCGAGGCCCCCATATCCGACTCATCAATCTAAACATCAAGATATTCACTCAAAACTCTGCCAACATTTTTCGATGCATGCAATTGTTCTTAAAATTCCTAGAAACAAACTAAAAACAATCACACTCATCTGAGTAAAATTAACCTTCCTTAAGCCTTCCCCTATCAACCTTTCAACAAAAAGGCCAGTTAAAGTCCCTAACGCGCCGACTAATGTGCTAAATTTGGTGACCAAGCTCTTATGTCTCATATCCAAGCGATCCAACTGGCGAAAACAACGATTTCAGGAAGGTAAAGAAGAGAAAAAAACCAAGCGGCCTTTGTGTCTCTTTCACGTCTGAGACAAAAAAGTTGTGCCTTCCTAACACGAGAGAGACAGTATCCATGTTTCTTGGGCGCCCTTATCAAAGGATATTTGTTAAGAGAGCAAAGTAATACCTTCTCTTCTTCCCAGATATAATCATATACAGCAGTTTTTCTCCTTTCTCCTTCTTCTCCTCGCCACTGTTCTGACTTCTTACAGACATAGTTCAATTCCACATTAGAGATTTCCAGGTCGTAAGGAATGAAGAACTCATCTTCACGCGCGTGAAGACGATGAAAGACATCCATAAGCCTGCCATTGTTATGAAGACTCAGGAAGTACATATACAATACAGAAGAGGCAAAGAACAGCGTTACAACATACAGGAATATCGTCAGAACGATACCCACGGTGCCATTGCCATCAAAGCGGAAGAAATGCCAGTAGAGTTTGAATGCGTCTCCTATCGGAACATCACCTCCCACGTTTAAAAATCTAAATAAAGTGAAATTCGAAATAAGACTAGGTGAGATGTATCAAGAGATAGAAACTGGGAATGTAACAAGTTTGGATGTCAGTCTAACACTTTCCACTCTTCCATCTACAGCACTCTTGTCATGCTACCCAAAGTGTAGCTACCCCTTTACCGTTAAAAGCTACCTATAAACAACCCTTGAGAAAAGACTGCTTTTGCAATTGAAACATACTCAATATCCTTATTCTTCCTTAAATCTTCTGAGTTTTCTAGTGTAAATTATCGGGAGTTGACCAAGTTATCTCCTGACGTGATGATCATTTTCAGAGGAACTCCAATCCTCTCTTTTCTTTCAACACCAATAAACTGTTGTATCAAAGGGGTCTCAGAAATAGAAATAACTATTGTTTTATACCTCATGAGCGCAGAATCCACGATCACAATCCAGATGGGATCGAGCAGCGCATTAATTCCATACGCCATGATAAACCGTGAGAAGATGTTAGGAAAAGTTCCAAACAGCATCTGCATTCCCCAGCAAAAGAGGATTAACAAAAAAAACAATGTAATGTTGAAGAGGGGTCCAATCACCACTACACCGATCTCTTTCACTGTGTTCAGCAGTGTGTTTTGATAGTTCAGGTTCACTGTGTAGGCGAGAAATTCGTACCTAGAGTTCACAAATACGTGAAAAGGGAAGAAAACCAACAAATTTAAAAAGTTGCATCATCAGCTTGCTCAAGAGGTCCTCAACATCACGGCGTTGTTGACAATCTTTTTGTGTTTTGTAGAATTTCAGGAATATCATGAACACAACAAAAGAAGGCCAAGGGAGGTTACAGGGGCCTGGAAGTTACTACTGTGAAATAATTGATTTATATCCTCTCATATGCAATAACCAGCTAAAACGGAAGGCGTCTCAACAAACTGTTTGACTCGTACGTGTGTAGTAAGCTCCTCCAAATATCACAATTAACATTTTTAACCGAATCCCACGTAAGGATAATGGTTCCTTGTATAAGCACGGCAAAAGCTAAAAGTTTCGGCAATTCTTAAAGTAACGAGTAAACAAAGAAACTTAAGTCATCGAGTCAGCGAAAACAACCAAATTAACGAGTGCTAACAAGATTCGCTGAAATAAAATATCAGACGGCTAAAGCGCACGAATCAAATCGAACACAAGAGAGTCAAAGAGATGAAAGTTTTAACGTATTTCCAACCAACATTACCGTCATCTCCCGGTTACATTATTGAGAGAAAACGCTTGGACTTACTTGCTAACTGGAATACGTAACGCTTGAAGGAGAACCCACTGGGCGCCATAATGAGAGTAAAGACGAACCCACCAAGTGAAGGCAATGAGGAGCAACATGGCCCAAAACTCACGAGAACGCCATTGAGAGAGGCCCAGTTCAGCCATCAATTGACGGCCTACATATTGCATCTTTTCTCGCCCATAATGGGGAATGCGCCCTTTATTGGACCAAGGTGGCCTGGGGTAGGAAGGAAAATTGGAAAATTAAACAAAAAACCAAAAAATGCATTAAATAACCACTTTCAACTTCTGGTTTCACCCAGCGGTGACAGCTAAATGTATACACGGCTCTGCAGAAGAAGGCAGCTAAACAGAACAATGGAATACTCACTGTACAGTGAATGTATGTTCTTCCAGTTCTTCCAAATGAGTCAGCCTTTTCTTCTTTTTCTTTCGTGTCATCAGGGGCGTCTTTGGAAGCATAGTAAAAATCTTTTTGGCGTGAACGTCGACTGGATTGTTTAAATGTTTCTGGAATAAATAAATTTGCGACTTAGTAAGGTTTCCTTTATTTTCTATCGACATTTTCATTCACCATTCCACAACAATCTTGAGAACTAATATGACAAGCCAATGTATGATTACATCAAGTAAGACAACGCAAGCAAAATTTGTGTTGCCCGGTTGTATCATACTATAACTGTCACCATGACTACATCCCTCAACCTTACGTTAATTCCAAAATAACTTTCCTAATCTTAACTTGCATCTCATTAATAACATTCGGGCATCTTTATGTGGTGTTTCGTCATTTTTTAAAACTGTATTAGCTTCCTGCAGTCTCGCACCTGAGTCTTGAGTTGTTCATTGAGGCATCTCGGTACAACATACATAGGCTGTTTAGAAGCTGTCGATAAAAATTGCAGGCTCACTTAAAGAGACTCTGAGGGGGAAGTTGTGGAGGCAGTGAAATGGAGTGGTTAGGGTGCAGGAATGTCAAGCCACTTCCCCGCTGATACTCACTGGATTTCTTCTCGATTGCCCCAAGTTCAACTCCTAACTGCACTTCGCATAAAGCCAACTGGTCTGCCTCCGGCCAGTTGGGATTTCAGAACTCTGTGTTTATTTACAATTTGTTTGCATTTCAACGTCATCATCATTGATGTCATCATATTATTACTATTATTATTATTATTGTTACTATGATAATTATTATTTTATGAATACGAAAGGTTAATAAAATATGTAGACGCTACTCTTACCGTACCTTGTAATACATGCCTGGCTGGCCCTTCACTGGTCTAAATCCATCATCTTTTTTCAGCATGAGAACCTCATCATCAGAATAGTCCGTCCCACTTCCGTCGCTTGATGCGTCGATCTCCACCGCTTTGCGTGACATGTGCATGGTTACGGGACGGGACGTCCGTCTCTGTGACACAGATGAACTGCGGCGCTGACGTAATATCGGCTCGGGGACTGCAAGAGACTGATAACAAACACACCGATGATCATACTTTCACTTCTCCTTTAAACACGAAGGCGCGCTATATAAGGAAGTCTTCCCTGGGAAGACCAAGGCTAATTTGTCACTCACCGTAGACGCGTGCGGGTCAGATTTAAACGCTGGTAGACGAACAAAAGGAGCTAATGGGATATTTATTGTTTACTTCCACCAGCATGGTGGCATGAGGTAACGAGCGAACCGCCTACTTCGATCTCAAATTTACCGCCACAAATAAAGACAGTTTCCATTGGAGAAAGGAAATACAAATCTCAAAAATTATTTTATTGTGATGAAGACATAAAACAATTTTGAGGAATGCGCCCGCTGTTCACTGCTTTGGAGTAGCTGTAGCTCAAGCTGACTTGACTCTAAGAGTTCTACATCACACGACGGTTGATTGACAAATGGTCCAGTGGGACCTAAGGCTCCTTTTATAGCGCGCCTTCGTGTTTAAGAGTATATATGAACACTTTACAAAGACGTCTTGAGCATTTTGTAAATTTGCTTGTTGAACGTTCCCTTACTGACAAATTGACATGTTTTTTTGGTCAAAAGAACGATGGTGCTCTTGTTAGAAAGCTTCATTTCAAAATCATCTTACAATTTTGAAACAAATTGCTTGACAAGGCAATGAAAAAAATGTTATCCCGCTTGCCAACGTGTTATCGAGTAAAAGAAAAAATTATACTCTTTTCCCACGTTTTCCATTCCGCCAGTAATTTAAAATCAGGATCACCCCGTGACCAAAATGTTCTTCAGAGAACAGGTCATAAATAAAACAGGTATTGTCGACTTTTTTTAACTATTGGTAACTTGAATAGAGACAATGGCTTTGAATGGGCCAGCATCTATGACATCATTTTAGCCCCTTGGAGACCGTAAAGAACATACAACACTCCTTAACATTCAAATTTTGTGGCTCACGAAGTTCGGTGGATCCGAACGAAATAAACCATTTTAAAGATTTTTAATTGCGCCCTGAGTACCATGATTAGTCTTTTTATATTCTTTTAAAATCATGATTCCAGAGCAGGAAAAACAATACTATTTTGATTCTCTAATAATTTGTACAGCACCCAAGAAATATGGTTTGACTAAGAGAAACATGACTCCAAGACCATGAAAACAATGGGGAAAATGAGAAAGAATAAAGCTGATAAGGAGACAGTTTGAAAAAGAAAGTGTATTAAATATAAATTGAAAACACAAGAATAGTACACTGACTGTGTCTGAAATCACTTAAAATTTGTGAAACAAATAAAACAAAAGCAGGAGTGATCTAGAAACTGGTTTCAAGAATTTCTTAAAGGCAATTCAGCATGTTTTCCATGCAGTTGTGTACAGAATCACGTTAAAAGAAGGTAGTTCTAGTACTTACAGTTCTTCTAACATCTGGGACTTCCACCTGCAATTTCTGAGTAGAACCCGTGCCCTCTTTATCCTCCACAGCTGTATCAATACCTACAGTGCTTCCAAAAAAACTCGACCTGAAAATGATACAGGCAGTCTATCATAAACATTCTAAAGTACACAAGTTATAAGATGAAGGGTCTTAACAACTAGGGGTGGTACAGTGTTGCTTGGTTATAACAAAAAGAGGCACTAAAGGGCTAATTTTCAAGAGTAACTTAAGTAAAGGCTTAAACTTAAGTACAAATTCAACACCATGCCCTATGAAAACACGTAAACAAGCATGTGTTTGTATTTGTGTTGTCAAAAAAAAAAAAAAACAATTCACAAGTTTAAGGAGGTACATTAAACAGTATTTTAAATCTGAAGGGGTTAAATTACTATTCTTTCCAGTTCTTTTGCAATAATTAATTAGGACAATCCTTTTCCTTGGACACTGTTTTAAATTATAGCACAGCTCCTTTAACAATAGGGGATTTAATAATTACCCCATTCCACTGATTCTACTGCCACGGCGACTGCTCGATGGTGATGACTTGAGATCCATCCGAGAACCATAAATGGGCTCTTCTCCATCAATGTTCTCTTCATCAATATTTGTGCGTGATGGATAGCTTAGAATTCCTGATGTAAACTGCAGTTCAACTTCATATTCCTTCTGTCCAGCCATATAACTAGTCAAAACAAGATACATATTAACCCTTTACAGCCTAACATCAGTATGCATATTCTCCATACTGTTCTCTAGACATTTCCTAAGCTGCTGACAAGGAGAATTTGTTTAACAAGCAAGAACTACTTTAGTTGGTGATCATTTCCTTTATTCTTGTGTCATGAATGTGTGACTCAGGGTGAGGTATTATAAGGAGAAATTGAATGCCGGTCATTGTCAGGGGTCAGAGGGTTAATAAAGTCACTTTTTTATTACACCTTACTTATCTAAACTACATGTATGCTGCTCAACCAGTTACTGAGAGCAACCTTTAAATTAAGTCCTTCAAAATTGTAAAACAATATCAAATCAGCTTTGACGTGTACACTCTAGAGTTATCATGATCCTTTCATAGGCCCTCCCTACACACAATAGCATTAATGGCTACCAGAAAAGTGTAGGGGAAATTTAATGAATTGTTGTGGGGAGGGGGGAGGAGTGGTCTGTCAGTATGCTCTCACAATATCACCTGTGAGAGCCCTTAGTAGACTACATGGAAGTTTCCCATGATGGACTTAACAATCCTGTCTGGAAAGAATAACAATACTCCTCCTCCTCTCCTCGTGCCATGAAGTCAAGATAAGCCCCAAGGGGTAATGAGCCAAAAAGCTGCCAAGAATTAACTTTGTTTTATCAGAGTATTTTGAAGCAAACTACCTCAACCATGGACACAAAAAAAGAGTGATAGGGAGTCTCACACTAAGCACAGCACCACCAGATAACTAACGAGTAGCACTTTAAAGTAAATTGGGAACTATGTGAAAAAAAACTGCTCTTGTATTCTTATTTCATAAACACATTTCACATTGGCTTACCGAGGCAGCTTGACAATTTCAAAATACAGGTTACATAGCCAGTTTTCCAGATCATCAGCCATCAGCTCTTCAATCTTCTCATGTTTATCAATTGTAGGGTCCATGTCACCACGAAGAAATGGAGCCTTGTACCTGCAAGTGTCAAATGCCCTTTGAGAGTTCTGCCAATGATAGATATAGTTGAAAGTAGGAACTGTTTCCCACTAACATTCCAATAACTAACATTTACTAATTTTCCTGAGCTGATTTTAATTTGACCCTTAAGCTTCTTGGAAACTGAGGAAGTAACTATATGTTTATGTGCAAGTAGATCCTATAAATGAGTTAATTGCTATTATATAAAATGATTGTTCAGAGAAATTTTGACTGGCATTCCACTTTGCATTCCACTTTGCACTGGCTAAGTGTGCTTTGCTTTATAAAAAATAGCCTATTCCATAAATGACAACATTGGCAATTTGCAGCTTAAAACTATGTTTACTTAACAGATGTACTTATCTTTTCTACAACAACTTGAAATAAAATGGTAGATCAACAAGATGTATATAACAATGGGTTTACAAATAAACTTTGTGTCAAAACAATCTTTGCCCATTTTTGTTTCCTTTTCCAGACTTCCATAGAATTTTCAATTTTCTTATAAATTTGGTATGATGCCTGTTGTTTCCTACATGTATATTTTCGCATGAGAAATTGAAGTTTGACCCCTAAAATTGATCCACTGCGCATGCCTGACATTTGACCACTGCATTACACAACCGCAGTCAGGCTAGTAAGTAAATTGAAAGTTATCTGCTAGAATTTGAATTACAAGTCATATAAGGAAATGTGGTAGATATTTCAAATGTTCTTTAACTCAGAGCTTTTGGCTTGTCACTTTGTACTCACTTTCCATCGATGATGTTAAACTCTCCATCAGAAATGGGGAAACATCCCCACCCTACTACCCTATCTGTGGCTGTGACACTCCCCCTGAGAATAAAGAGCTCAAACACCAGGATCATGCCTGGACGCACATCAGGTCTAGAAGGACACACTGTGAATACACTCTGGTCAATCTACAGAGGAAGTATGATGAAAAATAAGAGCAATGCTATGAGGTTGACAGGAGAAAATTATGAATGATTATGTAACTAAGTTTCAAAGTTTCAAATCCGCACATTATTGTCATCATATCTGAAAACTTTAAACTTTTAACATAATAAAGAACTGACTTAAAAATCAAGCAAATTAGCAGTAGGGTACTATTTAGGGAGTCTTTAGATCAATTTTTTGTATAGGGCATTTAGTTAGTTGTGTAGTCATTCTTATCTTATTCTAGTTTTTCCTTCTATTATGTTATTTAGACAGGACCCCATTGATAACAGTGCTCCTGCACTGAAGGGCTATCCTGTATAAATATTTGTTATTATTATTATTATTACTATTATTATTATTATTTATTCCTCCATACATAGAAAAATGTAAGTTAATTAAATAAAATAAAACCATAAAATTAATACTTAACACAAAATCAACAAAATTTGATTAAAACATGGACACTCATGCAGTCAGTAACTCTTAATGTGTTGGATGGTAGACAACTTGTTAAGATCCATTTAATGAACACAGTGAAACTTCATGCGCTCGTCTATTTCTTAAAAAGTTAGTATTTCAACATCAAAGATCTCATTGTTAAGCTTTTGAAGGACTGGTGTACTTGCATAAGATATCTACGGCTAAAAGGTGAGTATCACACCTGATGATTGCAGTCTACTAGAGTTTTTCTTTTAAAACTTATTCAATGTAAAACTATAATTCAATAGAAATTACATTTTGTCAAACCAACCTTGATTTCAATGTTGAAGAATTCTCCATCATGTTGCAGAGGTAATGTTGCTCCTCCCCACTGCTGACCTTTCAGATTTGACCACTTGAGCACATGCCCCCCCAGGCGATCATACAGAGACACCATGAGAACATACCGACCCACTAAAAGAGGAAGGGATGAAAACCATATAATGAAATGTGTTTGTTCAGAACTTGAAAATAAAGTCTGTCATTCAGCTTTATTGGCCTGTAAAGGATCAGAGACTGAGGCCATATGGACAACATTAATTTGTGAAAGTGCACACATGGACCTGACAAAACTTCACATCAAACTGCCACTTGGATGATAAAAATTAGAAGTTTCCCATCAAATTCATTGTGCTGAGATTAAGTTGAGAGAACTTGCCCATTACACTAATGAATACCCACACAAAATTAATTGATTTTCCAAAATGAGTTCACTGTTTATAGGTGGAGGTATTGGTACTCTGCAAGTTCTTAACTGTTATTTGTGGTTTCAGTTTTACCTGGTAACTTGTCTTTGACTCCTCTTAGACACTTCAGCTTAATCTGTATTGGCTGTGGGGTTCTGTTCCAATCGACTTTCCAGCGACGGCCTTTGCTACCTCCATACTGGCCATCAGCTAACATCAAATCTCCATACATGGCCTGGAAAAGAAAAATTGATGCAAATCAAACACAGCAAGGGAAGGGTGAGTTCTCATTTGTAAAATGTCATAGTATCACATAAAGAAGCCAAGGCATATAGTGTGCCTTTTGAGGATTCATTGCTATACAAAAGTGAATGTAGGTAAATCATCTCTATCTAAAGCTATCCCTTACAAATTCTTTTTACCTCTTGCTCAAAACCAAATCAGCTGTGTACCCACCTTAACTTCTCCTTTCCTTGCTGTCAGGGCCTTAAGTAGTTGTTCCTCAGCTCGGCGGAATGCTCTGTGGATCCTGTTCTGTATTAGCCCATCTTGCTGCATCAAAAGATCCTGAAAAATTACCAGGAGCAAATTGAAGCTTTGAATTAGGAAGTTGTAAAGAAAAGCCTTATAAGCGAAAGTTTGCATTTGCTGATTCAGGCTAAAAGTAGTACTGTTCAATGGGATCTGGCTGTCCACTCACTGTAATTCTGATTAGATATTTTGACAATTCCCTATTTAGCTGAAAAATAAAAGGAAACCCTTTTGGATGCAGAGTGGAATCAAATAGAACATTGTATCACTGTGTGGATGATGATTGCAGTGACAAAGGTGCACAAGTGACAATCTTAATGATGATAATATGGAGAAGAAAAATAATGAGGAGAAAGGCTGTAAAAGATTTATCACCAGTTTATATGAAGATGCCTGTCACATATGAACCATGTTCATATTCTCTTTATAGCTCAGCTTACAGAGCCTCTTCATCTGCAAATAGGAAGTCCTCACGGAAGCTCAGATCTGGTCTTTGTCCTGATGCTTGTGTGAAATATTGGACATCTCTCTTTATTGGACAACCAAACTCACTATTTCCCATGTTTCTAACTATGTTACAAGTATCTCACAGTTAAGCTAGGAATTATTGGTCTGGTTGTACCTCTCTCTGTTGCAGCCGCTTGCGTTTCTCTCTCACAACCCTCATAACTTCCTTCCTAGCTTTAGCTTCTCTTTTTAGTATATCTTCCTGTCGCTCACGCTGTGTCTTGGCCTGCTGTTGTTGATAGGCAATATGCTCATCCCTAAGTCGACGCTCCTCTTCCTACAAGCAAATAAAAAGCTTCATTGTAAATGTACACATTTCCTAACTGGTCTCTCAGCTTAATTCCAAATGGTAAGATATTCTAAACAATAATTTTTTTCAATGAGGTATGGCCTTGCTATATACTAAATAAGGCAGTAAATGGTTTGAACCCGGGGGTAACATTTGAAGGTGTAGTCTGATCATCCGGGTGAGTGTAGTCCTGAGAAGGACTGTTGTCGGTGGCAGTGACTGACGTTTCGACAACCTGTGCGGAAGTCATCATCAGAGTCAAGTGAATGATTGTTGTCAGTAGAATGTTCTTATTCCAGTTCGTGTGAAATGATCGGTTGGTTTTGCCGTGATGTTATTGGCTGTAAGACTCAAGTGACGTAAGTCGGTCGTGATTGGTCTGTTTCGGTCTGTCGGTAAAGCTAGGTTGTTCTTTTTCGGTCGTTTGTGATGTTTATGTCGTGAATGAGTCGTTTGTATGGGGCGGGTAGTTGTTGACATCTGTTTAGGGGAGTCTGTTCTAAGTTAGTAAACCAGCTTTCCAGAGTCAGTCGTTGAAAATAGTCAGTGCTGTAGGTTAGGCATTGCGCAGAGTCCCAGTCAATGTTGTGGTTGGTAAGTCGATGGTGTTCAGCAATGTGATTGCTGACATCACCTTTCCTCGTCGCCCGTCTGTGTTCAGTCAGTCTTGTTGTGAGGTTTCTGCCAGTCTCACCGATGTAGGAGGCTTGGCAGTCGGAACAATTGATCTTATAAATCGTTCCCTGTCTGTTCCTCGGTTCGTCTTTGTCTTTAACGTTGGTTAGTAACTGACGTAGTGTGGTGATGGGTTTGTGGGCGACGCGGATATTGAAGGGTAGTAAGATGCCCATCTTACTACCCTCAAGTTTCATTAGCAGAATGAGATTTGTTTCGGAAGCCCTCGCATGGCAAGTAAAGTTCCTTCGGAGCTGCCACTATATCATCATTATAGGGTTCTTAATACAAATGTTCATGTTTGTGAGTAAAATGTTCATGTTTCGGAAGATTTAGTGTATTAAATGGACCATATTTTGTTCCCCATACTATTCCTTATGACGCATTTAAATTGTCAACGGTTACTTACATAACTTAACACCGCTTCACATAACGCGTGACGCTTTCATGAATAATCCATCGCTTTTCCT